ATCTATCTATCTATCTATCTATCTATCTATCTATCTATCTATCTATCTATCTATCTATCTATCTATCTATCTATCTATCACAACAGAAATGCTCAGCTTCATTATGATCAGTATCAAGCCTTTTGGCCTCAGTGGTTTGCCGTCATCCAGTGTTGGCAGTCTCCGCCCCTCCGTTTACAGTTGCTCCGCCTACTTGGATTAAAAGCCGCATCACGACTTCGGTCGGTCTTCTTCCGCGTCTAGTTTTCTGTCTGTGGTCCTACCGAGTCGTCTTTGTTCAGGTAAATCTGACTAAACTCTGATGTTTCGGTTTTTAAAGCAGTTTCTATTTTATGGTTTTATGTGAGTTTCTGTGTTGATAAAAGACGTTTTGAAGTCATATTTTATTTAATGTATCTAAAGACCCGGTTTGTGTAGCTTGCCGGTGTTGGCTAGCTCTGTTAGCTTGTCAAACTTCAGGATATAATTAGTTAAACTCTAATTTTTGAATTAGGAAAGGAAAGTGGGGTCTTTATAAAACAATGGAACTCTTAGGGCCCGTTTATCAGTCCGAGTTTCCGTTAAACCCTTTCACCGTATTGAGCGGAACAGAAGAGACCATGTGGCGGTGCGGAAAGGCCCCGGCCTGCCTGGATTACTCTGCATCATGGCACCTGGTTTCCTGCCAGGTTTCTACAGCTATGCACGACCCGTTTCATCTTTAAAGCACACTATGAGCAAGAATATGTTGGCTGGTTAGAAGCAAACATCTGTTGGATGAATAATATTTTATGCAAATGTTAAAGTCCGGGTTAAACTGGTGGACTTGAATGTCAGAAAAGTCCAGTATGTTAAATGAAATGTATTTATTGTCAGTCTTTAATTGAAACCCAACTGAGTCATACAGATTACAACAAACTTAAAGGCCACCAATAGGAGGCCTCCACCTGCAGGGTCCATCCTTGGGACCTCCACCCACCTCTGCAGGGTCCATCATTGGGACCTCCACCCACCTCTGCAGGGTCCATCATTGGGACCTCCGCCCACCTCTGCAGGGTCCATCCTTGGGACCTCCGCCCACCTCTGCAGGGTCCATCCTTGGGACCTCCGCCCACCTCTGCAGGGTCCATCCTTGGGACCTCCACCCACCTCTGCAGGGTCCATCCTTGGGACCTCCACCCACCTCTGCAGGGTCCATCATTGGCCTCAAATTTGGGAGTTCAGGTATCTGAGTCTTGTCCCTGAAGGGTGGAAGGGTGGAGCAGGAGATGGATCTATGGATCGGGACCTTGTCCTCAGGGAGGTTTCTTTGTGGGTCAAGGTGAATTTAAAAAAATGGGTGGACTCAGAAATAAAAGCGCTGGATTTACCTGCTTCTCTACCTCATCTTCCAACCTTCACCTGAGAGTTACGAAGTTTAGATCATGACCAAAAGAAGCAGATCCTCAGTCCAAGCAGCTGAATTGATCTTCCTTCACAGGGTGGCCGGGCTCGGTCTGCCTCACTGCACCTCTACTCTGAGCTCCTCCCCAGATGATGGAGCTCCTCTGCATCTAAAGGAGTCAGCTGAGGTGGTTCATCTGCTCAGGATGCCTCCTTGTAGAGGTTTTACAGGCATGTAAAATCTGCAGGATCTGTAGGAGATCCTGGGGTAGATCCAGAACTCTCTTGAAGGATTTTATCTTTTCTGGTCTGGGAACATGGGATCAACATTTATTATCTTTTTATACACCGTTCTGCACAGGGAGCTGACTCAGATTAACCAAACATGTTAAAAGTATCAAATATAAGCCCACAGATCTGGATTAGTCTCATCGTTTCAGACTCCGATTCACACAAGATGAAGACTGTGGAGTCAGAGCCACCTCAGGTGTGATTGGTTTGCTGTCAGGTGTGTGTGTGTGTGGGTGGGGCTGTGGTTAGCTGCAGTCCTGCTAAGGTGCCCATTAGATCAGACGTGTTCTGTAAACCGGTTGGTTTGATGGGCTTTGCACCTTCAGCCCCCAGCCTCCCCCCTCCTCCTGCCAAGTGCAGCAAAGCACTGTGAGTGATTCAGATTCTGTCCTGCTAATGCAGCACTTTGTAATTGCCTTCATCCTGACTTGTGCCTGGACTTGTTCTGTTTGTGTTCCAGAACCATGGCTGAGCTGAAAGAGCGGACATTCATTGCCATCAAGCCCGACGGCGTGCAGCGAGGCATCATCGGGGAGATCATCAAACGGTTCGAGACCAAGGGCTTCAAACTGGTGGGCATGAAGATGCTCCAAGTGAGTGAATGAGTTTTGTTTTATCCATCCGGTTTTATTTTCAGCCACGTGAACCTGCTGCAGAGGAACACTAAAGACTTCCAACAAGCTGATTACCCTCCTGATCTATTCCTGAGCACAGAACAAACGATTAGCTCCAAACATTTGATCTGAAACCTGATGAGGCGCCTCTTAGCAGGCCAGGAACTGTACTTCACTACAGTTGAAAACCACTAAATGTCAGGATTTACGTTTTGTGTTGTATCAGTGTTGTTTGATAGTTGCTGCACTAATTTTAGTTTTACAGGCTGATGTCTATTTCTTAATTTTGTGTACATCTTGACCTGCCAATGGAGTTCTCTGAAAATTATCATACATTTTTTTTTCTTCTTTTTGTTGTACTTTATTGCACTGAAAAAGAGGTTCAGCACTACAGCAGTGTTGTGTATAAAGTACCACAAAGTGATGAGTAAAAGTACAACTATCTTACCAAAAATATTACTTTGGTAAAAGTTAAAGCCTCCTTTAGGAATATTACTTGAGTAAAAGTCTTAAAGTATCTGATAACGTTTTGTACTTAAGTATTAAAAGTAAAAGTACTGATTTAAAATGAGCAGTTAGTTTTTCTGTAAGGGCATTTATTAGGAGATGACCTCCCCAAAAACTGCAGAAATGACTGCTGTATTAAAATACTTAATTTATGTTAAATTTAAGATGCACTAGTCTGTTTCAGTTTATATACAAATATCAAGGCTGCACAAACCTTTTCCCCAAAATGAAAATCTAAGGGCTGCAGCCAAATGCAATAATATAATTCATGAACTACAAATACTTCTTAAGTACAGTCCTTTTCATTTTAATGATTATGTCCTGCTGGTGTGACATGATTTGTTTGTGTATAAAGTAATACGGTATCAAAATTTTACACATTTATACTTCTCATTTAACCACAGTTAAATTTCACTCTATCTAGGAGGCACAGTTTATATGGATAGTATTTATTTTTCACAATAACAAGCTGGAATGAAAACAAGCAAAAATGAAATAAAAGTAATGACTTTCTACTTGTCTTTTTTTTAATGTAAGGAGTAGAAGTAAAAAGTAGGCTGAAAAATAATTACTTAAGTAAAGTCCAGATACCCAAAAGTTCTACTTAAGTACAGTAAAGAAGTATTTGTACTTAGTTACTTTAAAACTGCCCTACAGTGGGTGTTTAGTTATTTCAAAACAGGAAATAGATTGTACAAATAAATGATGTAATATCACATGTGGAGTTCCTCAGGGTTCTGTACTTGGATTTAAGTTACTTTTTATTTTGCAAATGACTGTAAATGTGTCTGGACTTTTTAGGTGTGTTTTATTTGCAGATGACACACTATTTTGTTTGGGTAAAGATATAAGAGTGGATGATGGAAATGATGCAGACAGAATTTCTAAAAATGAAAATTTGGTTTCAACTTAATCATCCTTAAATTTGGGTAAAACTAATTGCATGATATTCATTAGTGGAAAGAAAACTCAGTATAACATTTAGAGTCGATGGTGTTGATCTGTCAGTGAGGTCAAGTTTTCAGGTGTTATCATTGATGAAAAGCTGACATGGAGACCTCGTATAAATGATTTAAGAAAAAACAATAGCTAAATCCATTGCAATAATGTACAAAGTAAAGGAGTGATTTAATGATAAAGCTCTTTATATGTTGTACAATGCAATAGTTTTTCTAAAATATATTGTATTGAAGTCTGGGGGAATGCATGTAAAACAATTACAAATCATATTTTTGTTTTACAGGAAAATGCCGGAAGAATTGGCACAAAGCATTACTGTCATCCATCAAATATCAGTTGAAATTATTAAAATCTTATGAGTTTGTTAATTATAATATTTTGCAGGCTATGTATAAGGGTCAAAGAATTTTTACCTTTTTACACATCCAAATTTTATTAAGGGACTAGGGATGTTTGTAAAACCTAAAATCAAACAAATTTAAAGGACCGATGGACTTCGATTCAAGATATATGATTTTGGAATAATCTGGAAAGCGCTTGTGAAACTGCTGCCAGTTTGAATAAAATAAATGTATTAAAATAAAATTTTACATGAATGTGTGAAACTTATTTTAGAACTTAGAAATGCAGTGTCTTGGAGGACTGGTCTGAAATCAAGAGGAAGTTCTTTTTGGATCAAAGACACTATTCTGATGTTTTACATGTATTTGAACAAACTCGAGTGTTAAATGTCTTTAAATTTGTTCATAAAGAGTAAAGGATTAGAAGTTATTAAACACTGAGCTTATCTCTGTAGGGTTTGGGTCGTTGTTCAACGTTATGGTAGAACAAAGTTTTCCTCGACGAGAAACTTGTCTAAAGGATCTGAAAGTGTGAAATAGAGAGAACATAACAGTAGGGGTTGGGACGGTGCAATTATTGAAGTTTTTAGCTTTTCATTTGATATCTGGTATATATACAGTACATTGTTATGTTTAACTTTAGCTGCTTTTACTCTGTTCAGTCTCAGCACAGGTTGCTTCAGCCTAATTCACGTTTGACAGTGCTGCTGTGGAAGCAGACTGCAGCAGAATGTTTACAAGCATTTTTTTATTTTAATTTAAAGTCACTAAATGATCTAACAGTGGAGACAGTTGACCTTAAAGCAAGCTGTTCCATGAAGAATCAAACTGTGCAGACGTCAGATGTTTGTGTTTACATCCCGTTTGTGCTTTCAGGCCTCTGAGAACCTCCTGATGGACCACTACGCTGACCTGAAGGACAGACCCTTCTTCCCTACTCTCATCAACTACATGAGCTCTGGTCCAGTGGTTGCCATGGTGAGAACAGCATACACCTGGATAAAAAAATACTTCAAGCTTAAACTGACCCTAAAGATGTGCAGAGTCCTGAAATCCAACAAGTTCTGTAGAGTTAGTTTATCCAGGTGCTGTACAAAAATCTACTGATGTAATTAGATGCAATTTTATTTTCAGTTCAACACAAACTTCAGTGAAGTCAAAGATGCTTCTGTTCATTCTAGTTTTATTGAGTGGATTCTGTCAGTATTTGACTTCAGTACAGATGTAGTACACATCATTTACCATACAGAAATCTGTTGTTGATACATAGGGGTCACAAGGTACCGTATTTATTCATGTATAATACAACCCTCCCGTTTTTTGAGCTTAAAAAGCATAAAAATATTTAATCCTCAAACTACCTCCAATTTCATCCAGACTTAAGATTTTTCAGCCTTTGCAGTCTTGATACATATCAGTAAAATGATCATTGGACTGTTCATTTTATTTTAACAACATATGTACTAAAAGGTATTTTGACAACAAATATATATCAGCTGTAGCAGCATCATGTGAATTCTGACATTTTACACATAGTCCACCAGGAGGCGCCAACACAAAARTCAGAGACTTCACATGATATTTGGGCCATCTTGTGGGGGATGATTACTTCCAGCGCCCCGCTGTGGTGGGGAAACTTTTTTCAGGGATACAAACTTTTTCAGAACACTGGTAGACAGCAGCCATTACAGACGAACATGTGTTTGTTGTTGTTTGAGGAGCGGCCCGGTCACACACTGTCATTAGTTCGTTATCATTACTGAGCTGCAGGACTGCTTTTCCCCCTTTTTTTCACATCATGTCTCCTGCCTGGATCTGTTATCTCTCTCTGAAGCACAGAGGAGTGTCACAGGTGAGCTCGCTTCAGCTGCTTTTTATGACACGGCCTCATTTCTGGACTCAGGCATTTTGTGAATGAAGCTGATTTTTCAGTTAAAATACATAAATAAAAATATTTATCCTAGTATAGTACTTATGGTTGGGCATAATCATATCGTGTGCAATTAATCACCAGAAAAACATTAATCGATTATTTTTTGGCATTTGACGATTAATACGATTAATGCCACCAGGCAGACTGACTGAAAATTTCTCGTATCAGTCTGCTCGATGCCCCACTCCGCTTCAAATATGATGAACATAAAAGAAAAAAGTTCTGCAATGTAATTTTGACACAATTTGAAACAGATTTTTACAAAAAACAAACCTTTCCCACTAAATTGGTCAATTGACTAGGACATAAGGGTGTCCAGGGGATTAATCGTCAAATTAATCGTTATTGGCTAAATAGCACAATTAATCGTGATTAATTTTTTACTAATATCGCCCAATCCTAATAGTACTACCCCCAACTTTATGGATGATTTTATGGATTATATTTGAATAAATACGGTAATCAGACCCTCACTCTGTCACAGCTTGATGCTACAATCAGATAAACACTGTCTCACAATAATGCCGTGAAAACTGAAGTCTCACATTTCTAAAAGTATTCAGAAGTTTTTCTTTGGTGCTGAGTTGGAGCAGCTTTTAGTCTTACAACCCTATAAAATCTGTTTTTTGTTTTTCTAAATTCCACTCTTTCCATTTTTTCCCCTGAATTCCACATTTTCATTGTAACCATATTTATTAACCTAAAAAGTGTGTAATTATAAAGTGACGGAACAGTAATTCAACAAATAAATAGCTACAGAAATAAATGTCTTATTTCACATTCACTAATTTAACAAAAAGCAGTGTTTCAGTCCACCATTAAAACTTTTTGTTTGGTCAGTTCTGTGATTCCATCCACAGTTCCAGCATTGTGGAAATGATGAGGCCCTACAGTCTTCTGGGGTTGTTGAAACAAGTTTTGCACATCTGGACTGAAGGATTCCTGTTCTTTCTAAATGCTCTGTAGCTTGGTTGGATGAGACAACTGTAGGGTGGGCTCCAGAGTCCTCTCCAAGCTGCTCCTGGTGTCTGCTGTGTGTTCAGGGTCCTAGTTATGTTGGAAGGTGAACTTCTTTAAAGAATCTGAACACACGTAGGAAATGTGACATTTCTGAGATCTTTAATTAATGTATGAAAGTGTCCAATTTTTTAACTTTGTGAGGTGTGTAGAGTTGAAAGAATTGGTCATGTTTTAGTCTGAGGCTACAGGTTCTGGTTCTGAAGCTGCTGTAACCTCAGAGCTGGAGGTCTCATGACATCACATTGATCAGTTTATTTCTGACACGTCAAAGCTTGGATTGGATTGAGATTAACTATAATTTATTACTTTCTTAGCTAAAAGGCCTTGATGAGGAGCTGCAGAGAGGACATTGAGACGACCCTTTAAACCTGCTCTGCTGTGTTTTTGGAAACATGCTTGGCTGCTGAGCTGATTTTTCTGCCTCTCCTGTGTTCAGGTATGGGAAGGTAAGGGGGCTGTGAAGACGGGCCGAGTGATGCTGGGTGAGACCAATCCTGCAGACTCCAAACCAGGAACCATCAGAGGAGACTTCTGCATCGATGTGGGCAAGTGAGTGTTGTGTGCATGGATTAATTTAGATTCCTGTGTTACTGCCTGTACAGCAGGAGAGGGTCCAGCTTACATCACATTTAACTTTCTTTTAGTTAGTTTACATTAGTAAGGCTAAAACTTAGCATTCAGCTGTTTAGAGGAACATCTTGAGACTTGATGGTGAACTTGTTTAAAGGGATCCCCTTTTTAGTTGTAACATTAGACTTTATATGATAAACATATACTTTAACTGTAAAATACTGTAAAAATATTGTAGGATGTTCAGTTTTTATAATTTTAAACTAAGTTTAAATAGAATAGAAGGTAGAAATGACTCAGCCTGGAACTGAAAATATGGATGGATGACCTCAGTTTAGCTTGTTTGTCGCGCTAGCACAGAGCTAATGCATATAAGGCAATATAGCGTCAGTGCTAGCACGAAGGCTAACAGGCTAAGCTGAGGTTCTTCTTCCATGAAGCAGCTCTGTTGTCCTCCATCCATATTTTCAGTTCCAGGATGAGTCATTTCTACCTTCTCCTCTCTGTCAACGCTCTCTGGTTTCATTTAAAAGAGTCGATCATCAGATATTGTCCAAGATTAACCTTCAGGGTGGATATAGCTCGTTAGCAGCCTCGCACCGATGACCTACCCGCGTCATCATTTACCCAGAATGCTTTGCATGTAAATAAAATGGCTCTGTCCGTGTTAAAATATATTTTTAAAATGTACAAAACTAAACGGCCTACAGTATTTTTACAGTCTTTATTTTACAGTTAAAATATGTTTGTCAAATAAAGTCTAATGTTACAACTAATCAGGGATCCCTTTTAAAGGTTGTGTAAGATAAATACATCTGGAATAGGGCTGTGTAGTAAATGCAGTAGACAGTAAAAACAATATGAAGTTGGCCAGTGGTGGAAATGGACTGTCTGTGGTCAGTTACATCATCACACCTGTGTCAACATGGCTGTGAGTGCAGAGACAACTGAGCAGGAGTTGGTATTAAAAAAAAAAAGGGAAAAAAAGACCCCCGCTGTAGAAAAGTTACATTGTATTGCAGGATCCCCCCCCCCCAACTTGTGGGTTTTTTACACAAGAAAAAAATTGTTTTTTCTGTATTGTTACCCACAGAGATGATAAAAAAGACGGACGTTTGTTCAGTCATAAATTTATCTTTCTAATGTAACAGTTCTGCTCTGAGAGCAACAGAGCAGCAGGTCAGTTCAGCAGGCAAGAAGCTCATTGTATTATTGTATGGCAGGCAGATGTTACATTTATTTGGCTTCACCACACTTATATTCCAGTTATCTGAAATAGTTTTATGACAGGACAATGTGCAGCTTAAGCCTCTTAAGGTCCTGTCATACTGTTAACATTTTAGGCAACTTAGAATGTTTTTATGTCTAAATGACTAATTTTACTTGAAGTACTGGTTATAACATCCACTTTATTTTGATATTGTTGAAAATTTGAGAAGTTTTTGTTGTTGAAACCGTTTTGCAGTATATATAAAACATCATTATACTACAGCAAAAATACTGAGTTTGATTATGATTACAGTTTTCTGCTAAATAAATGCTCTAAAAATTACATTATCTTTGCTTTTTATGATAATTTTGTACCACGATATATACCATTACTGTGAAGGGATTCAGTTTATACCCTGATATGAATTTGAGGTCAAACTGTCCAGCCCTAATCTGGGGTGTGTAGAGTTCAGTGTCATGTTGGGCCTACAGTTCTTTTGTTCCTCTAGTGACTCTTGGTGGCTTTGACTAAATACTAGTTTAAACATAAATTTGTTTAGAGCCACAGTAACTGCAAAAAGTGTTAATGATGTTCACAAATGCATTCAGGATGCTCACAGACCTCCATCAGTGGTTAAATGTTTTTTTTTTCTATTCATGTTTTTAATCTTGTTTGTTCTTAAATGTAAATTGTTACATTTTCTAATCTTTGAGGAGGTTTTGTGTCTCTGGACATGTTTAATTCAGCTCTTTTTGTAAAGATTGCTGAAGCATTGTCTAATGTGACTACACACACACAGCCTTGTGTTTATATCCCCCGTTATTATTGGTATAATGAATGTTATTGTTAATTAGGAATCCCACACACTGAACAGATTGTTTGCCAGTAAATGGCTCTGACTCTACAGAATGTGGTGGAGTTCACATCAAACCTGTAGCTTTCTGACCGTCTGCCTCTGGTTTTGTCAGGAACATCGTCCACGGCAGCGACTCTGTGGAAAGTGCCAACAAAGAGATTTCTCTGTGGTTCAAACCAGATGAGCTGATGACCTACACCAGCTGTGCCTTCAGCTGGCTCTACTGAGCTGCTCTGCAGACGTCCTCCCTCTACTGGAAAACACGACCCACGTTTCATCTTCATACTGTCCTGTGGTGGTCCACATTCATTCCTGTTCAAACGTGTGGTGGTCCACATTCATTCCTGTTCAAACGTGTGGTGGTCCACATTCATTCCTGTTCAAACGTGTGGTGGTCCACATTCATTCCTGTTCAAACAACATTCATTCCTGTCAAACATTCCATACTGTCCTGAAGTGTCCACAGCTGGTGACTAGACCTCGTTGTTTTTATTAAAGATGACCTGTTTTCCAATAAACAGTCCACAGTATTAACTGTCTGATTGTGTTTGTCAGGAATATGACTGGTTATAGGCAAATATCAGTGGTCTCAAACAGGGACCTCTGGACTCAACCAGTTCAGTTTGATTTATAACTTCCAGTTACTGATGTCTGACAGAAACTCAAAACAAAGTTACAAAATAAATATTGGCTCGTCAAAATAAAATTAACCCATAAGTCTGTCCTGCTGTCCTGATCCTGGAGGACCACCAGGTTCTACAGGTTTCTCTGCTCCAACACCTGATCTGAATCAATGGGTGGAAAACTGTTGTATAAAGTATCTTACCAAAAAAATGGTCTTCTTTAGGAATATTACTTGAGTAAAAGTATTACAGTATCTGATATTTGTTTGTACTTGAGTATTACAAGTATCGCTTTAAAATGAGCGGTTAGGTTTTTCGTAAGGATATTTATTAGGAGGTGACCTCCCAAAACAGAAATGACTGTATTAAAATAATTACAGTAATTTGTTAAATTTAGGATGCTCTAGTCCAACTGCTTCAGTTTATATACATATATCAAGGCTGACCAAACATTTTAAAATAAGCACAAATAAAATAAAAGTAATGACTTTCTATTTCTTGCCTTTTTTAAACTTGCCTTTTTTAAAAATGTAGTGAGTAAAAAGTACAGATAATTGTGTGAAAATGTAAGTAGAAGTAAAAAGTAGGCTGAAAAATAATTAAGTACAGATACTCAAAAATTCTACTTTACAGTAACAAAGTATTTGTACTTAGTTATTTTACAACTCTGGTGAAAAACAGTATTCAGTAGAACGTGGAGGTGTTTAACCCTCCTGTTATGTTTGTTTCTGAGGAACAGTAATATTGTTCCTGTGTCAGTTTGTCCCAGGGAATGTTTAATCATGTCAGAAACTAAAACAGATCACCTAAAACATTGTTCTGATTATTGACTTCATTATGATCTATATTTGTGTGCTGATTTTTTTATATTTACCAAAAAGGATCAATGAGTTCATTTCACTAATTTTTCATTAATATATTTTTTATATTTACTGAAAGACCACACACAAAAACAATGGTTATATGTGAACTTATTTTTTTTAGATTTTTACATTTTGATCTGTGATATAGGTACGTGTGAGGAGGAGGAGGTTGCAAATATGTTAAATGAACCATTTTCATTTTATGTTGATTAGAGTAAAGTTACTCACTCAGCTGTATTGGATCAGGTAGAGGTCCCCCCCCTCCCACCGCTCAGAGCAGAACCAGCAGATTATAATACTCCCAGCCTTGACGGCGCTCCCATCAGGACATAAGAATCCATCAGTCTGAAGTCGAGCTTTTTATTTATTCAGTGTAAAAGTAAAATCTTACAAAAGCCACCAAATAAAGCCATGCCCAAACAATTTACAACACTTTGTAAACACAGAAGCCTTTTAGTTACAGCCAGTATGACCCGAACATTTATCTACATCAATGATTCAGCACAGCCCAAATATACACCATGAAAAAGAAGTAGAAACTTTGCACTGCACTCTAATGTACCTCAGTGGCCAGTGTTAATATCTCTGACTATCAACATAGATTTATTTTCATTAGTATCCAAAATAAGGTTTTTTTCTTTTTTTATTTATTTTTTGCATTATAAGCCTCTGAAATCAAGATTATTTTCAGACAACATTAAATTTCCATTATGTTCAATCATTATCAAATATATATATATTTATAAATATATAGCACCACATGGTTTAATATAACAGGGAGGGCTGTCACATATAAAAGACCCGTGTTAGTATCAAAGGAGAAATTAAAATAGCTGAGTGAGGCCTTCAGCATCAGGAAGAGACAAAAACCACAAAATCCACCGAAAACCCAGAGAAACTGATTTACCCACTGAACATTAAGATATGTACAGTTTCACTCCAATTTCATTCAAACTACAAAATTTTTTTTTTTTTTTTTTTTTTTTTGCTTGGAGAGAGCTGAAGGACCCCAGCTGGGTGGGGTGTGGGGGGCTTCACCTGCTGTCAGAACAGAACCTGAAGCACCAGATCAGAGGGAAACGTTCTGATTTACAAGAAGTAATGTTGATTGTGCATTTCAGAACGAGCAGCAGGTTGTCTGCAGAACAGTCGCTTGGTTTATTTCTGCCCTCGTTAATAAAAGAAAAAGCATCTGTTTGAAACAAACCGCCCTGAAAATAAAACGGAGACATCAACTTAAAAACATCTGATGATTGTGCTGCTGCAGACCAGGAAAGAGTTTTAGTCTCTGAGGCAGAAAAACTGATATTTGTTTCTGATTTGGCAAAAAAGTTGCAGTTTTTTTTAATTATTCAGAACTAAAAGACAGTAAAAACGTAAACTCCATTTCAAAACTCTACTTTTTATACTTATATTTTTAAAAAAAGTTTTAAAGTCGTGAATGTTTCCATTTATAGTTTTGTTTCAGTTGAAAAGCTCACATGGAAAAAGTCAAATCTCGTGAAAATTGAAGCTTATTTATGAGCTTGAACGTTTTCGTGTCTAAACTTTAAGCCTAGCTGAGTGTGAAGCTTTACTGAAGCTGCTGGACATTTTTCTACTTCATATATTCTCATATTCTAACACTTATGTTCACATATTTACATCATTTCTTACTTTTAAACATCTGAACGTGTCACAGTCAATATTTAAATAAGAACTTTATAGTGACGTGTTTCAGTTAAACATGGGCAGAATATGAAAATATATTTTTTTATAAAATAAAACTTTTGTTAGAATAAACTTTATATTTGAAAGTCATAGATTTCAGGTGGAACGTTATGATTCTGTAGTTTAATACCTTTAAAAAAAGACTCAAATAGTTATTTATTTAACCAGATTCTCTGAGTTTGAAATGATAAAAGTAGAAAAAGGTTGGATCTGAAGCTCGTGTTTGTAAAAACATGAAGATAATAAAGATTTATAAACCCCCCATGAAAGAAAAGCAGCAGAAAGCTTCCTGAGAACTGAATCATAACTCTGAGGAGCTCCGCTCTGCATTTCTACTAAATATATATATATATATACACACACTAAATATTCACAGTTATACCATAGCATCTGTTAATCATCTATCTGTTAGAGTGACGTAGTGATCAGAACATTTGTGGTTGTGATAATTTCTCAGCATAGTAAAATAATCTGGGATTCTGTGGTTGCATAATGTTGAAATGAGAAAACTACCTCGTGTGCTGTGAGAATAAAAGTCTTTGTCCCCGAGTGTCACCCGGAGCTAAAGAATATCTCTTTTAGTTTCAACTAAACTCTTCATGTTGAGATTAAAGAGGAAATAAAACAGCTAAATAATATTTGAGATTAAAGTTTAAATGCTGAGAACAGTAATCTGCTGGAGATTACACACGGAGTAGTTTTTTTTCTCTTATTCCTCTGGGAAAACCTTGTTTTTGTTCACCTGAGGATAATCTAATCCAGTTTAAATCATGATTTATGATGAATTTGCTGAGTTTAAAGCCAAATTAAACAAGTTCTGGTAAATGAGGGAAAGTAAAATACATTTTTATGAATAAATTTAAACTCAAAAAGAATCCTCCTGCATCTGTTAGTAATAAGGATTAACTCAGACTGCAGTTATTTAGAATTGATTCAGATTTAATTTAGACACAAGTTAATCTCATTTGTGCTTAAAGAAAATTAGTTTATTAAATTTAATCTGAAACATCCAGAACAAATCTTCTTAAAATAGTATTTTCAACATTACAGATTAATCTGTAATCTTTTCTTAAAAATTTGAATCCCAACAATTTTGACACTTTATCCTTTTTTGTTTTTCTCAAGATAATTCCAAGATTGACGGAGACTAATCTCATGTTTTCATGTCTCTCTTCAGACTACGTTAATCTCAACATTTCAACCTTTATCTCAGCATTTTGAGTGTTATCCCAGGATAACAACTCATCAACATTCCACCTTTAATCTCAACATTTAGTCTGAAGTTTGCATCTTTAATCCTGACAGCTGAGTGACATCATTAATCTGCTGCAGGGCTTTAATCTTCAAATCTTTATTCATTTCTATAAAAACATTTATTTGGACTTTGGGAGGTAGGTGAGAAACATTTAATCTAGGAATTTGAGGTGTGTTTTTGTTTGGACAGATCTGTTCCTCCACACATGTAGAGATTATAATCCTGATGCTTCTGAAGGAAAACTCAACATTTCATCCCGTGGCTCAGCTGGACTCTGAATTCATTTGGCTCCGACACAAGAAGAACTGGACCCAAGTTGTGAATATCCCAGACACAGGAGGGCTCTCGGGGCCTGGGGTTGCTGCTACAGATGATCCGGGTCTGGACCAGATCAGCAGGATTTCCTCATGTCGGAGCTGGAACTGCTGCGTTCAGTCCACAGTAGTCTGACAGTAAAGAAGCTGTAGTTTTTATAGAAACCAGAGAGGACACAACTGGAAAAATAATCCCAGTTCTCCACCAAACCCGACCAGTTCCTCTGCTCACTTACAGTTCTGACTCGTCTCATTTTGTTTCTGAGAGGATGTCTTCCCACAGCTTCATCCTTACTAATTTAGCACAACAGCTGCCTTGCTCTGAGTTCTGCCAATGTTTGATTCCTCTGATGCCAAACTACAAAGCTGAGAACTGACGGTGTTCTCTGGTTAGAACAGGTCAGTGAAAGAACTACTTTAATCTGTGGACAGACCAGCATTACAGACCAACAGTTTTTAACTAGAAGAAAGTCAGAGTTTTTGTAGTGAGAATGTGTGGAAAAGTTAAAAACAATAACAGAGAACTCTCTGGACAACCTCAGTTATTTATGCCTCACTTCCACTGGTGCCTCTACAGCACACTTCCATTGGTGCCTCTACAGCACACTTCCACTTGGCTGTTCCACGAGCAAATGGAACCAGACTGTTCAGAACTTACTTCACTGTGGGTCCAAGTGACCACACTGAGCTGCACACACAGACACATGACAAGACTGTCAGTCACTGAGTGGTTAGGGGGTCACTGGTTGGTTAGAGGTCACTGGTTGGTTACTGGGTCACTGGTTGGTTAGGGGTCACTGGTTGATTACTGGGTCACTGGTTGGTTGGAAGTCACTGGTTGGTTGGAAGGGGTCACTGGTTGGTTGGAGGTCACTTGTTGGTTAGGGGATGCAGTCACTGGTTGGTTAGGGGTGCAGTCACTGGTTGGTTAGGGGTGCAGTCACTGGTTGGTTAGGGGTGCAGTCACTGGTTGGTTAGGGGGCCACTGATTGGTTAGGGGTGCAGTCACTGGTTGGTTAGGGGGTCACTGGTTGGATAGGGGGTCACTGGTTGGATAGGGGGTGCGGTCACTGGTTGGTTAAGGGGTCACTGGTTGGTTGGGGGTGCAGTCACTGGTTGGTTAGGGGGGTGCAGTCACTGGTTGGTTAGAGGGTGCAGTCACTGGTTGGTTAGGGGGTCACTGGTTTGTTGGGGGTGCTGTCACTGGTTGGTTGGGGGGTCACTGGTTGGTTGGGGGTCACTGGTTGGTTAGGGGTCACTGAGTCACAAGAGCTACTCTCACAACAACCTTATCTGTCATTTGTAATAACACCATGTCCTCCATTGATGTGTTGTGTATCTTTTCTTCTTCTACTATGTTTAATGGTGGCTGGCAAACAGCTTAATGGAGCATAATTGCCACCTGCTCTTAAGGTGTGTGTGGCATCAATTTTCAGACTTTGGGACCACCCAACTTTACGATGAACTCACCCACTAAAGCTGTTACTGAAGTGTAAAGGTAAACCACCTGAACCGTGCTGAGCAGTGTTCAGCCAGGGTGAACCGTGCTGTAGAGGCGCTGGTGGAGATATGTCATTAGAGTCTGATTCTGAGCCAATCAACGAGCTCCCAGTGAGTCCAAACAGAACCAAAACCAAAGTGGACTGTTGCTGCTTTAAAACAACTTGTGTTTTATGAAGGTTTGGACCAACACTGTTTTATAAACCTACACACTGCTGTCAGTTTCACACTACATGGTTATATCAGCAGAAGTAAAGTGAGAATCCTGCAGTAAGTGCTACAACCAGCTGCTGCTGCCACTACTTGCAGACAACCTCACATCCTGACCAAACAGAAACACAGCTTTTTAAAATAAATCTTAAAACAACTTGGGCTGTAGGTCCAGATAAGAGGCAGAGCTATGACATCATCACTTCAAACAGATTATAGCTGCCCACATGAAAACACGACGGTGGTGTTTCAAGCCCTGAAACTGGTTTAAAACCAACAGTTTAGTCCTCCAGAGTTCTTCGAGTGTGGATGAGGCTGAAACTGATGAAACCTGCAGACCTGAAGTCATCATCAGCTAAAAAATATTCAGTTTGGAGTCGTTTTAAGACGACAGTAATCCACTTTGCGTTTGGCCCGACTCTGACTCAAACTGCATGACTGCATTATTCTGACGAGCTAACGACCAGTCAAAGACCACTACAGATTTAACCAGGACTTGCTGGGTTTTATGGTCAGTCACCAGGAAAACAAGCTGATAGTTCAGACTTCTCTGCATTTAAACACAACCGTGATAACACAAAGTTTATGGCTGCAGAACCAAGGCAGCCATGTTGGATTGTGATGTTTGGGTTGATGAGGAATCTTTAAGCTTCAGTGTAAATATTTAATATTTAGACTTCAAGGTCGTACCGGCTGGTCTTTCTGACTTGGAACTCAGACGGTCTGACGTCCCAGTACCTCAGGTTCTCCACACAGAAATGAATCTAAGAGCCATCAGGTAAAAACTGTTCAGAACTTTTCCACAAAACCTCACTTCAAAAGGTTTTCGGTGAGTCTGCAGTAAAACATTCAGCTCCTGAAACAGACTACTCTCCTCTGAGTGAGTTGTGTAATTTGTATCTCCTTTTAAAAACTAAACCCTGAAATCCTCCTCCTGTAAGTTTAAACTGAAAATATTGAAGCTGTGGAGAAGAGCACAAAATAATCTTTACTAAAAAATGGACTTTAAAGCTCTTGTAATCTTAATTTCTCATTCAGATTTACTTTTCTCTCCATCAGCTGAAAACCTCTGATTAGTGTGCGACAGAAAATTTGATTGACTTCAAACTAAAATAGACTTTAATTTGTCTGAACAGAAAAGTTGGGTTTGGTGAGTTATTGAGAAATTTTTGTTTTGTTTTTAATCAAACAAATGCAAAACAAAAAAAAAATCCTAGGAGGATTTACACAAACAGGTGTTTGTTGGAATTTGTTTGCTGCCGAGTGAAAAAACAAAGATAATTTATTTTTTGACAGCAGCAGGTTTGTTGAGCTGAGTTCAGCAGGAATGGATGCAGCAGCAGAAACAGGAAGTGCTGGTGAGCAGCTCTGAACTGTACTGGGATCAGTGGAGAAGCCGGTCCTATCTGGACTCCCCAGGTCTCCACTTATCTTAGGAATCTTACAGAAAGACACACGTTTCCCACCACGCCACCTAACATGGAACTTTAAGACCAAAACAACCCAAAAACTAAATGATTGGAAAATAAAAATCACATTTTCAAGTAGTAATAAACAAAAGAAAAGAAGTCACCTGACAATATTCTTCCAAAGAGAATAATGAAACGGGCCCGGCTCGACTCCCGTCTTCACGCTGCTGGAGGTGAAAAAGACCCGGCTCAATAAATATATCTCACAGTTTCAGGTCTCCATGTGGCCTAGAACCAGTTCCTCCTCCTCCTCAGTGCTTCCTTTAAATCTGGAGTCTACATCAGAGTGTGGAGCTGAGAAAGAATGCCCAAACCTCTGAGACCCAGACCCGACTGGGTGCAGCTGTTCCAGCTGCAGGTCAGGAGGACGGTTCAGAGACGGTCCCTGCAGGATTGATCAGACCGGCCCCTCCATGTCCTGGGCCAATTCCACAGGCAGCTTGTGACGTTGTGATTCCTGATCCTAGGTGGAGTTCCCCCCGGAGGTGTGCCCCGGCTCCTCCGGACCTCCTCAGTGCTCCTGTTTGATGTAGTAGCTGCCTGAGCCGTTGCTCTCCTGGTCTGAGGCTCCCTGGCAGAAGGTGAACTCGTCCACCTCGGCCGACTCCTCCTTCATTCTCAGGAGAGACTCTGGAAGGACAGACACAGGAGAGGAGAGCAGAGGCAGAGGTGAGCCACAGTGACACAGAAACAAACCTCAGTTTAACTGGGACCCCCGGGAATTGAACCACGATGATCAGCAGCTCCACAGGGACCCTGCCTCCTCCAGCGGTCTCCACAGAGCCTTGGAGAGTCTGGGCCCGGACGCTTCAGTCAGCTGTGTGACTTTACCTGATTTGTGGGTGTGACGGAGGTGAGTTTGAGGCCCAGAGGGCCCCCGGGCACGGTAACTGGGTGGACTCTGCTCTTCGTACCCTGAGAAGCTGCTCCTCCTCCTGCCTGCCTGACTGAAGGGCCGTCCACCAACCGGAATCTTCCTCTCTAAACACCAAGACTCAGGTCAGCTACCAGGGGCTTATAGCACACAGGGGCTGAGTTCAGCTCCATCAGAGTTGAGTTTGAGAACCAGGAAGGAAAGTTAGACAGGTTAGAGCTCAGAGTGAGACCTCTGACTGGACAAACATCTGAAGAAGCCCCTGGTAAGCTGGTCTCAAACTGCCAGTTACCAACCTCAGAGCTGAGAAACCGTCCCACCACCTTGCAGTGAACTGCAAAAGTATTCACCCCCCGGTGGTCTTTTTGTTCTTCTGCTCTAAAAACTAGAGTTGAAGTGGATTTTATGTTGGAGAAGTAACACATCTACACACTAGTCCAGATTAGACTCTCCAACCATGTAGGTGTGAATGTTTTGTTCATCGAGGATACTAAACAAACTAAACAGCTCTCATTAGGAATGCGCAATATAAACGATATACGGTAGAAACGATATAAATTTGTCCTATGATAGAGATCTGTAGTCTACCGGCCAACTGCGCAATTCTTTTTGATGATGTAACCGGCTGGAGTCAAAACAGAGGAAGCGGGAAGCAGCGTGGCTGAGAGCGCAAATGAAGAGGGGGGAAAAAACACAACTTATCCGGACCACTGTTTACATGTTTACGTGACGGCGCGCCTGCAGCGGGAGGAGCGCGTGCCGCGGCACATGGTGAACGCAGCGAGGCGACTGTCAGTGCAGGTGAGGACGCACAGAAGCTCGTTGAGTCTGGACCTCGTTTCTCCTGCTGTCATAGCCCAATACTGTCTCCTTGTACAGCGGGGAAGCACTGTGGGAGAGGCTGACAGACTGTCTTCCCCAAAAAATAAATAAAAATAAAAATGCATAAACGGGATGATTGTCACCCCGCCGGAGCGCGCACAGATTAAACACGTGGAGTGCAGAAAAAGTAATCTGCAAAGTGTGTAGAACGGAAAAAATACAAACAATTTGTTTTACCACCTTAAAACGAAGCAGGTGATTCCAAACACAACATCCAATGGATGCAGGTATCTATTACATTAAAGTTACTGTGTGTGTGTGTGTATGTATGTATATTATAT